AAAAAAAAAAAAAAAATCCGCCAAGAAATCCGAGCAAGCAGCCTGCTCTTGGCCGAGGGCTCTCCTAGGCGCGAAGACACAACACGTCCCCCCCGCCAGGAATCTACATCCTCGAAGGGGGGGACGGTGAGGCACTGGAAAACTGCAGCATGCTGAGTGAGGGGTGGAGCACGTCAGGGGCCCCTGGAGGTTGCAGACGGCTGCTCGGAGGGCAGCAAGGTTAATGAAGGTGACACAGGGGTCACACAACACCTGGAGGGAGCATTCCCAACAGGGGGGAGGCCCTCGTCCTGATTAACCGGTTCTAGGAAAACCGATAATAAAAACAAAGCACGCATTATGTCACCGCTGACATTACAGGTGTTCCAGTTAGGCTGGGCGTAGACTTGAGGCCACTTGCATAGTGTTATTCTGCATGGCAAGTCCTGGCTAACACAATCAGAAAACACAGCACACGTGAATAGAGTGAATTCAGGACTTGAAAGGAAGAAGAAAATTTCTTCTTAAATTATCTTCAGACGGTGACGCTGTCTATATAGATAAACTGAGACCCTCAGATAAACTAACAGAGCTAGTAAGAGTTCACCCAGATTGCTGGATACAGGTAGGCATTAAAACAAAATAGTATTCTTACGCACCAACATTAACCAAATAGAAAAGGTAATTAGGGAAAGAAGAAAAAAAAAAAAAGATCCCTTCGGGGCACCTGGGTGGCTCAGTCGGTTCAGCATCCAACTCTTAGTTTCGGCTCAGGTCACGATCTCACAGTTTTGTGAGTCTGAGCCCCGTGTCACGCTCTGCACTGGCAGCATGGAGCCTGCTTGGGATTCTTTCTCTCTCCCTCTCTCTCTGCCCCTCCCCTGCTCACATGGTCTCCATCACTCTCAAAATAAATAAACTTTTAAAAAAACTAAAAAAAAAAAAAACAAAAGAAAAAAAATCCCTTTTATAAAACAAAAAAAATTTTAAGCACCCCAGAACAAGTCTAAATAAAATGACCACTGACTTTATGAAGGAACAAAAAAGTCTTCAGACATAAAAGAAAACCATAATTATTGGATGAACATTCCACATCATTCCACGGAAAGAGTCAATGCAACACAACAGCAAATCTCTGGATCTTAAATAATATCCTTTTATTATCTCCTAGATGTTTTACATCATCATTTAAAGCAAAAACTAAGAAATTGCATAGTTGAAATCCAGATCTCATCTGGAGTTTTCCCTGGACATGATACGGAAAAGTAAGCTCAGAGAATCCTGGACAAAAGGAGAACAGGAGAACAAAGACAGGCCCTTCCCGACAGCAAGGCTCTTAAAAAGCCACGTTGTCAAACAAGGTGACAATGGTGCAGGCAGAGACCGCCAGGTGCGTACCACAGGCCCACGAGCAGTGCGCCTGGCCAGTGGCCTCCTCCTGTCCCACGTGCGCACGTGTGAAGGTAGGAGGGACGGCGTGTGCCCTGGAAGGTGCCGGGGTGAGGCCAGAGTGTGGTGTGTGGACAGAGGGGGGACCCGGGGCAGGGAAGGAGCTGGGAGCCTGGGGCTACACACCCAGCCCTGCAAAGAGCCTGAAGGGGACAGGGACGGGGAGACTGGCCACGGGAGCTGTCCACAACAACAGCATCCTTTGGAGCAGAGAGACCAGAGACCGGAGAGCCTCCCCTTTGCAAGAGAAACCGAGGCCAAAAGGGGATGGTGGCTTGGCAGAGGCCACGAAACAACCAAACCTCCTGACGGAACCCACTGGAAACCTCCCCTTTGGGGAGCTCATCCAGGGCTCTCTCCAACTACAGCACACCAGCAACACTCTCTCTGGGTCCGGCACTTGAGCGCTCTTGTACGCTGCCATCTCGAATCTCTCTTCTCTGGCCTCTCCTGTAATTCTCCCTCACTGGTCCTGGCCTCCTAATGCCTTCTCCTCTATTCATTTCTGCTTCTTGTTCCTCCCCGCCCCGCCCCCCAGGTCTTGAGTCCCCATCAACTCTGTGACAGCACTCTCAGTGCTCAATGCACGCTCTTCCTGGATGGCTACAGGACCCCGTGGCTTCCATTACGAGCTTGAAGCTGGCAACTCGTATATCATTTCTGCAGCCCAGCCCTGCACCCTAGACAACATCCCGCTTACTCAGGCAATCCGGGGACACACCCACACAGCATCACAATAGGAGGAAAGTCCCAAAGAGCCAACATCCTTCAGATGTAGCCATTTTCTACACTAAGAGCCTCCCCAAGGTCAACATGAAAAACCATGGGTTTCTCAACAGGTGTATGAAGCAATCCTACTGATATGAGGGAATCAGGGTGTTAGAAAACCAGGGTCAAAGAAGTATGTCTGTAAGGAGAAAGCTCTAATAACTGAGAAAAAGTACAACTTCAACAACCAGTGCTGGAGAGTTCAGGTAAGGCTCCGATCCCAGAGGGATCCTGGAATAACAAAAAACCTCACGGACCAGGGAGACTATGCAGCTAAACGCAGTATGAGAAGTCAATCCGGACCCAGCCGTCTATAGAACAAATGATGAGGTGAGACCCAGGCCTGCACCCTGGCTGCTGGCAGGTCTGGTAAGTCAAAACGGGCACTGAGTGACTTCACCCACGGGGCACCACGAAGACTGGCTATTTCAAACGGCTTTCTTCCCAGCTACGGGTCTCCTGTTTACAGTTTAGGGCCAAGTTTACAGGACTCATGTGTCATCAATCAGAGCATATAAAGAAAACACAAAAAATATTTTAACAGCTTACCTGGTCCCAGGGGGAGACGGTGCCTCCAAAGCACATGAACAAGTACCCCATGGCCACCAGACACATCCATATCACCAAAGAGAAAAGGCGTAGCAGCTTCTTAAACACGGACTCGATGCACACGAGGATGAATATCGCAAAGAAGATCGCCAGGGCAGTTGGGACTGTTATTAAAAACGCCACGTGGTCTTCGACTTCCTAAGAGGAAGAAAAACATCGCAAAGGTATGGTTTAGAAATATCGTGATGCCAAGGGTTCGTGTCCTCAAATCTCCACATTAATCAGTGTCAAAATACATCGGGTTTTAAAAATGATTTCAGTATGAGAGATGCGGGGAAGCACGGATTCCCCCTACTTCTCCACCATGTCAATGGGAATGCAAACTGCTACAGCCGCTCTGGAAGACAGTGTGGAGGCTCTTCAAAAAATTAAAAATAGAACTACCCTACGGACCCAGCAATAGCACTGCTAGGAATTTACCCAAGGGATCCAGGAGTGCTGATGCAGAGGGGCACTTGTACCCCAATGTTTACAGCAGCACTTTCAACAATAGCCAAATTATGGAAAGAGCCTAAATGTCCATCGACTAACGAATGGATAAAGCTGTGGTTTATATATACAATGGGATAGTACTTGGCAATGAGAAAG